AATGAAATTTGCTGAACCATCGTTGACACTTACCAACGTTCAAAACATTTCCATAAACTTATTTGATATTCTTTGTGGCTACAGAAGCGTTGTTTACCCTTTTTATATTCAAACAGCATTACATGCCGAATGTGTGTCTCGTCATGTGTCATCACTGTAAGGGATTAGAGTATACTAAACTTTACACACTATATAGGCTACACTAACGTGATGTTTAGGCAGTTCATTTAACTATTATATGTAATGTACGTGTTTTGGGGGGTAATTATTGAAAGTGTTAAAAAAACACAATACAATATATGGATAAGTCAAATACATGCAAAGTCATATTTTTTCCTTAAAATCTAAAAACAATTGTTGAAATTACTTCTGTGTGAAGAAGAGTGACTGTTTAATTTATAAAACAATGTTAACAATACTTCATTCAACAATAACAACCTTTCAAATTTTTTTCAAAATGGATGTAGTCTACTGATTCTCCAACAGAGAAAATAACAAATTAGTCACCTTGTAAAAGTTCCTAAGCAGCAAGGTGCTCTCTTCTCGAGCCTGTTCGATTGCAGCCAAATGACGATCTTGGAGGAAACTATAACCATCTTTCAGCACTAGTTGTTTCACAAGTAGAATACTCATTTCTAATGTGGCTAATCTTATACGACTATCTGTTATTAAGAAAAGAAAACAGAACAGATATATATAAATAAATAAATAGCTTACAAACTAGTGATTACATTGATTGTTAATAGACAATTAAATCAGCACTATAAAACAATAATGAATTAAATACTGCATTACTGTTATCGGTCCAGATTTTTTTTATGGTTTTCCATGAAGGCTCACTAGATTGACACCAGCGTTTGGATTTTGTCTGATAGATGGGATATCCCCAATGCATTTGGGTACTATTACCCCAGACATTATCCGTTATGACAATAAGTTGACAACCTGGACCGACAACAGTAATGCTATATATTTATATATATAAACAATTACAATATAGTTCATGGTATTTAATAAACAAAGGTAAGAAAGCTTTAAAATATAAAAAAATGTTTCGTTTAGAACTTATTGAAAAACAAAATTTGTTTCAGAAGAGGTTTGATCAGGGTAGATAGCATAAGACTGAAAACATTTAAGATGTGAATGGATTTTGGATGTCAATTTTAACAAGGTTTTGGATAATACACTGAATCACTCAAAAGGTAGCACATAATACATAAAGAATAGACTATATGAAACATATAACACTAAATTTGTAATAAGTATATTATAATCACAGAAGTAAAATAAAGTCAATTATTCATGAGCTACTTAGAAATTCACAGATTTCTGTAAAGGTATTTGAATTTCCATTGTAATTTCATTCACTAAAAATTTCTGATATCCTATTTTGTAATCAAGGTTTCTATGATTACAACATATGAGGTTCATTCAGTATCTTCAAAATGGCCAGTTTATAAACTATTCATAATACATGTCTAAGTTAATATCAGTAACTGGTATTATATACAAGAACATTTTTAGCAAAGTCTATCATTTCATATCCTAATGTTTAGATTTTGGGAAAAGCTAATTATTTTCTACACAGTTCTACTGCTCAAGTAATCAACTAGGTATTAATACTCACTGTACTGGCAGCTCTGAATGATGATTTTTATAAGTCTTTCTACCAAGTTAATGTTGTAAAGCTGTTTTGTCTGCAAAAGAAAGTGAAAAGAATTTCCATCAATGTATCTGCTCCTGAATAACTTAATGTAATTTTATCCCAACAAATTCTTCCATACTTTACATTACTGTTGGCTGCTTGTTGATTTTTGGCCAATCAGCTTCACATTTGGAATGAGAATAGCAAAAACCACTGCAATTATACATGTGAAAAGAAACAAAAATAGTGACAACCACCAAAAAAGAACAAATCACGTTTTGTACTAATTTCTCCCAAAGGGAGCCAAAGACTGCTTGGAGGGGTCACCTGTTTTAACCACTCACACCACTATACAGTAGTGTGTTGTCTGTCAGTCAGTCATTAGATATTAAAATGACATCACATAAGGGATGTATAATGTTGCAATTTGTATTGTCGTGACGTCAGTAAAACGTGCGTATGCCATGAATCATGAGAAGAATTATGCATTCTGTAGGCTACAACACAGCATGACATGTGAACTTGAAAAGCAAAAAATAAAAATATTTGTTACTCTTAACTTTGGTTTTATTTACTCTTGAAACAGAACATTTTGGGAGGCCATGCAGAAGTACATTTTGTTAAATATTATTTATGATTTGAAAGAATGACCACTTATCTTGAAAAAGTAGTAAATGAGTAGATTACACTCTAAGTGAATACTCTCTTTATCAACTCAGCATTTAAAATAAATAATATGTTTCTTATGAACTTTTAATATATTAAAGCACCTAATCTAAATCAAAGTATCTTAAGTCAATTTTAATTGAATTTTCAGAACTATAGAGAATAAAACTTGAAAGCCATATTTCCAATTTGTACATTAGTGTCATCTATTTTGTAAATTGTTTTCAACTTTTGAACTGTGTTGAACTGTTGACTTTAGTTTAATTTTAAAAAGACCTGCATACCTCTGATTTATCTGTTGGCATCAAAACGGTGTCTAGAAGATCCTGATTTATTCCTGGTAAAAATGAATCATTATTTTGATATGACCACCCAAACTGAAACCACACATGTAAAAATGATTTTCTTTTTACTATTAGTGGTAGTTTCTATTTTTGCGACAAACAACTGACCAGATTTAAATTGGAGAGATAAATAAAGCCATATTAAGCTGGTTGTTTGAAATAATATTTTAAATTGCCACTGTTTATATTTTCTGTTGCAATTTTTCTTCATTAAATTTTATTGTAACTAAACTTCACTCACAGGTATAAACCTTACACTAATAACACCTAAAGTTTCTGTTTATGTTTTTTTATTTTCTGCCATTACTAAATAGACTTCAATGACAGAAAAGTATTTATTGACAACGTACTATTACATACATTATACAGAATTAAAAATTAACATATGGTTACTGTATTTTATATTTTTATAACAGCTAATAGAAATTAATAATAACTGTCTTAGACATCTTTTTTATCCTACATGTACTAAACACCAACAAATTAGAAATTTAAAATTTTACATAGTGTTAACTACTACCAGGCACACCCAAGGGATATGATTAAAGTCAGAATAACTAAAAATTGTAATTTTTCAGTTAATTTTATTCAGTTTTACACCATCCCTTTAAAAGCCTTAGATCTAAGAAATCTAGAACTAGAAAATTATACAAATCTTATGAACAAAAGAGCTAAGCCTATAACATAGATTATCTTGTAACCACACAGTTACATACAACAAAATAAAAATTCTACATCTCTAAATTATTACTTTAATCAATCTTGTTTCACAGCAATTTACCTACCGGCTGTTTGTTGGTGAAACACATCAGGAAGACAAGCCAGGATTAAAAGACATTAATATTACATGAGTTTTCACAACACACAGACTACAAATGTCATTTTTCAGTTATAATGAATTATAATACGACAGTAATACATAAAGTCTTTTTTTTAGTTTACAACACATTCAAAATAATAAAAGCACTTTAAGTTTTCTACAAGTCACAGAAACTAAACATACTTTTCTTAATTAACATAACAGAAATATTGGTAGATGTAATTTGCACTTATAAGTTTATGAAGCATTAAGAAACAAGGCCCAGTATACCAGTTAATAATGGAAATTTATCTAAGATTCTTTGTAAGCAGGTAAATTACATGGTTATGGTTCACTAAGAAATGTTTTAATTTTTAGTGTTAGTCTGTTACTGAAAATGAAGTTTCATACTGACATCATTAAGAGATTATATTAACACAACTTTAACAAATACACTAAAACTGGTCCAATTTAGTTCCAAACAGAACAAACTGTGTCGTCTTTTAGTAATATATTATGATGCTGTCTATCACAGGTAAACTTAATCAACTTTATTTTTTATTAATTCCAAACACTCATGTGCAGTTTCTCAAATTACAAAGAAAGCAACTTTTATTCATATTGTTTGTTTCCTAAAACATCAAGTTAAAATGTTTTTTACTTTAGTTGACAAGGAAACTTTGCTTGATTCTGAAAGTTTGTAATACTTATCTTTATAAGTGTCCAAAATACAGGATAAGTCATAATGTCAAGAATCAACAAGAATTTTTATTAATTACTCAGTAATATCCAATTAATGTTTGAAATGTTTTGTAGTTATTCTACTACTATATATACACCAGTTAACAACATCAATTCTTTTCTGTATGCATATTTTATTTAAATATAACATTACATTAAATTACAACCTATACAAATTCTTATAGCGGTATAAAAAAATAAACTCAGTTTAGAAACTCCAGTATATTTACCTGCATTGTGTCCCAAGGCATAAAGCAAACACAGAGCAAATAAAGCAGCATGGTCATTTTCTGTACACTCCAGGGCATTAAAAATGGCTTCCAAAAATGGTCTAGCATTGAGATACAAGAAAAATATCCTCAGCTGATTTTATCAAGCTGATTTAAGAAATCCTTTTTTAAAGTTGTCTGTTTATATAAGAAAAACATAAAAAAACAGTAGCAGACTTAAAAATAAGTTTTCCTTTATCAGAACATTAATTCTTTCAAGTCATTATTCTCCCCCAAAGGAGATTAAGGTATGTACCTGTATACAGCCACTTAGGCTATCTACTACTACCCCTAATTTTGAACTGCCGACCACAGAGAAGTCAACCAGCAAGCAGCATCACTGACAACACTTTTAACACTGAATAGTGGGATTGCCTGTCACATTGTAACATCTCTATGGCTGAAAAGGCAAGCATGTTTGGTGCTGGGTTTTGATACCATGACCCACAGATTTTGAATCAAGCACCCTAACCAGCAGATCATAACAGGTCTATTTACTATGGAATTAAACTATAATCATGAGTTTCTGAAGTAGTGTTGATTTTTTCATTTTATGTTCTGTTATTTAGAATACATTTTGATCTAACTTAACTTTTTGTAATATTTAAGATACACTTAACTTAGGAATATATCATTTATTATTTTGATAGATCAATTTAACTTTTATAATAATCTTTAAATATTTCTATTCATAATCATAAGAGTTAAATCTACAAGCAAGAAATTCAGAGAAATAAAATTTGACCTGTTTGAGAGAGAAAATTCTTGTTGGAGGTGCTCTAAAGCAGACTGACTAAGTTTATGTGCGGCTACTGCTTTCTCTTCATCAGTAATATTTGTACCATTTGACTGCAAAGCAATAGAACACTCAGAGAGGCTTTCTTGTTCTGAAAATTAAAATTATCACCATAAAAAGTTGTAGGTTTATTTGTAACTTATCAACAGTTCAAATGTCCATATTAATGATTATTAATCATCAGTTATTAACAGACTGTGTTAAAAACCTAAGCCAAGTTACTTGTGTGATCTATTTTCATGTAAGCAACCTACACAAAATTTTCTTGTATTTGTAACTAAAATATAAATATTTTTGATAATAAAGTTTTTCTGGGTACAAACAGACAACTATTATGAAAAAGACAATCCTTTATAAAGGAGCAAACCTTTCAGAAAGCCAACCATATGTTTTATAAGTTTTATCAGCAAAATAAATATTTTGTAAAAAAATAAACCCCCAAGCATTAAATCGGGCATAAAGCTATATATTTTTAATCATATCTACTATTAAAAAATAAATCCTCAAACTAGAAAACACTTTTAAACAAGTAAAGAAACTTTATATAACCACATCCTGTACAAAATTCTTTAAAAAAACAAATCATTCTTTGTGAATAGATAAACCCTTCACAAAAAATCCAAGTAAATTCTTAAAAGTATAGATTATTTATTGAATTTCATATCTGAGTTTAAAACTTTGTTTGCCAATGAAAGGAATGATAAGAACTAGTGGATATTTTGAGACAAAACCTTGTTCTAAATCTTCTAAATACAGTGTATAATATCTGTTCTGACAACTTCTGTTTTCACTCAGAAGTTTCAAAAATTAATTTCTTACACTCAATCACATGAAAATTTTTAACAAATAAAATAGAACCTACCAAAAAGTCACACACTGTCTCAAAACAGTTTTAAACACAAAAGTATAGGTTTTAATCATAGATAAACCTCCTTCAGATAAGATAATAACCTAACAAGTAAAAACAATTAAAATAAATAAATAAAGCATGAAATCGCCAGTAGTATAAACATAAAATGGAACTTGAAATACATCACAAAGTTTTATACCATTCTACAAATAAGAGAAACACCACAAAAAATTCCAAGAAACCTAGTTACCATGGTATGAAATGATAATGGAAACTGACTAGATGATAGTTTTAGATATTCACATAAATCTACACAAGGGCTATCTATTAAATGATAAGCTACAGAGAAGGCAGCCAGTAAGGTCTAACCATTCTTCTTATAAGGAACGAATGAGCCCTAAGCACAGAGCACTTTTTGTTTTTCAGCAACAGGATGTAAAATTTTGATTTAAGGACAGAGAAGGCCAATAAATAGCAACATAGTCAACAAAAATGTGCATATGGGAAAAACTCATTATGAAATGAAATAGAAATGCAAATTACTTTTGCCATCTGGTGGTTTGATATGAAAATACAAAAAAAATGGTTTAATGTCCCCAATACACATCTTAACATGAACAACATCCTTTTTTTCACAATACCTTTTACTGTTACAAAAATAAAAAATTGGCCTATAGATGGAAAACACAAACCCCTGTGCAAGTAATCTTGTGTGCATGTGTGTATACAGGAGAAAAATAATAAATTTATGATTTTTTTAAAGTACTTTTTTTTACAGGAAACAAGGGTTCCTACTCATGACAATATATATATATATATATCATGATTGTTTTTGCTTCAACTAAGCACAATTTAATTCCACAAAATGAAAAATTGGTAATAAAAAAAAGTTATTAATCAATACACGTCAAAATATTCTGAAAAACAAACATATTGAATATCATAATTCAACTAAATAACTTAAAAGAAGATGATGAAAAATTAAAATACAATGTAATACTTTTTACCTTCATCTTTAGTGTCATGCTGCAGAGAGCTATCTGAGGTCATGTCTTGAGAAGGTGGACGTGATACATCTCCCTCCTCAGGAGGTTCTAAAGTCTGATCATCAAGAGACATGGAACTTGATTCACTACTTTTAGTGAACATGTGTTTACTTTTGGCATGAATCTGATTTTCAAGAAGCTTTTCTAATGTTTCCTGAGGAGCCACAAATCCAGGTTCAGTGTTTACATTACCCTAATTGTAGAGAAAATGTCAGTGTCCTGAGGCTTGACATTGAAATTACTTTATCTATTACACTTTTAAACTATCTTTTAATATAAGTATTTAAACATAGACTATTAAACACATCCATAAAATTTCAAAATTAATGTCAAAATGTTAATTTTAACTCAAAAATATTTTAATATATGAAATCTATCGTTTTGTAACATTTATTTAGTGTAATTCACAAAGATAAATTAAAAAATGTTTAAAATTTCATTCCTGCACAGCTCCAAGAAGTGAACAACACACTTAAATTGTTTTTAATAACTTTTTTGTCCATCCTAAATCAGAGGTTTAATATCTTCTAAGAAACTATCAGAAATAATGTTTATAATAAAAAATAATAACATTAAAATCTGTTTGTTTGTTGTCAAGCTTGATGGTTATCTGCATTAGCTGTCCCTAATTTTGAAGTGAGAGACAAGAAAGAAGGCAACTGGTTAACACCATCTACTGCTAACTCTTGAGCTACCCTTTCCCAACAAATAGTGAGATTGATTGGATTAGTGTATCTGGTGACATATTTTGATTCTATGACTCAAGGATTGCAAGTCAAGTGCCTTAACCACCAGGCCATACCAGACTTCATTAAAATTAGTAAAGTTTAGGATAATTATTATAACGAAGTAAACATTAAAAATAAAATTAATATAATAACAACTAATAAATAAAAGAGGATATACTACATACTCGAACCAACCATTTGTGTCCATACTATGGCAGAATTATCTAAAGTTATCACTTGTTTAAGC